GCTGTGCTGGGCGCTGCTATTAAAAAAAAACATCACGAGCTCTGAAAAAAAAATCCCTAATTAGAGGAAAATTCTTCTAATGCTGCTAACATATACCGAGGCGCAGGCTCTACAGTCTATGCATATGTGAAGGGGTGGGGGGATGCTACTTCAATTTGTGATTAGGTGGCTAATCGGTGCATTCTTTGTTCCTTATTATTTTGATTGATTATGTTGTGAAATACACACACACACAAAACACATACATGCACACATACAAAATCTACTGTAATATGCAGCAGTGTATTACTTAAAAAAAAAAAAAAAAAAAAAAAAAAAAAAAAAAAAAAAAAAAACAAAAAAAAAAAAAAAAAAAAAAAAAAAAAAAAAAAAATTAAAAAAAAAAAAAAAAAAAAAAAAAAAAAAAAAATTTACAAAATAATGGAATAATAAGTATATCATGAGTGAATACACACACACATATATACATATATACACATACATGCACACAAAATATACACACCATAATATTATACATACATACATACACATATACACATACATGCACACACATACCAACTCTACTGTAATATGCAGTAGAGCATCACATATTTACAATAGATTGGAATACTAAAATATATCATGTGTGAATATACAAAATACACACACACACACACACACACATATATACATATATACACATACATGCACACAAATTCATATACACACCACATATATAATACATACATACATACATACACATATACACATACATGCACACACATACCAACTCTACTGTAATATGCAGTAGAGCATCACACATTTACAATAGATTGGAATACTAAAATATATCATGTGTGAATATACACAAAATACACACACACACCAAATATGTAGTAGCATATCACATGTGTGTATACACAATAGGATGGGAAACTAAAGAGGTATATAAGCATGTGTTAATATACAAACACACACACATATATACATACATACAATTATACATATATACATACATGCATACACATATACACATACATGCACACACATGACAACTCTGTAGAATACAATAGAATGGAATACTCATATGTGAGTATACAAACACACACACATGAGTAAGCCATTCAATTGTAAATACACATGTGATACACTACTGCATATTACAGTAGAATGGAATACTCATGTGTGAGTATACAAACACACACACAACATACATATATATATATATATATATATATATATATATATATATATATATATATATATATATATATATATACACATATACATGCACACACATACCGACTCTACTGTAATCTGCAGTAGTGTATCATATATGTGTATGTACAATAGAATGGAATACTAAAGTATATAATCATGTGTTAATATATAAACACACACACTATAGTCCACTGTAATATCCAGCAGTGAAATATATATTGTAAAAATACATACGTATTTACAATAGAATTGGATATTAAAGTATATATTAATGTGTTGACTAAATCACACTCACACAATTTACTCCATTTATATTATGCAATAGTGCCCTATGTATTGCAATTCATATAACAGAAGGGTGATATTATAATGTAATTGTGTAAGAATATGTATACATTCTAAATATATTATTTTGTGTATTGTTTTACACACAGGCTTGACTCCGAATCTGTGCATTTCAGCTTTCCAAAAGGCTTTTATATATTTGGTAATTAGTGGCCTGAGATTTGTTCTGCAGAGGCGTCTCCAGAGTCAGCAGCCGATCCCCTCGCCCGGCCGGCAGCGCAGGGGTTATCCAGCAGCGACTTTGTCTCTCGAAAGTTTGCGACAAATCAGCGCAGCACCGCACAGACAAAAGCTCATCAGTGCAGCCATATCAACTCTCACAATACACAGGACTACAGGACACGGCGCCCAGGAACTCGTATTAACGTATTAAATGCTGAGTTTTGTGTTTGAGGTTTTTTTTACTATTATTATTTTCTATCTGTATGTTGAAGCCCAGCCGACTGAATGTCATTAGAGTCCAAGATCGAGTCTAATGGAAATATCATCAGGAGACAATTACCCTTAGAGGCTGTTCACTTCTCCTCGCAGACACTGTCATTTGAGAAATGGGATCATTTCATTTCATATTGCAATAAATAACACCCAACCGGTTTAAATTGCCAGTTTCTTAAAAACCACCCATTGGAATAAATTGCTGCGTTTCTCCCCTCTTTTCGCAGGAATAGGATGTGATTCGAACGTGGATTTGGAGAAAATAAGTAGAAAAATCGACCACATACTACTTTTGGGCAATATGTCATGATACCGGTACCTTAATGTTATATATTTATCTAGTAATACATGGATTAGCCCCGAGCCTCCCCTATATCCCTGTGCTAGCCTCGCATTCTTCAGATGAGTTAAAGGTCTCCAACAGATCATCATCTGTCTGCCCAGAAATACCAATCTGTGATCGCCCGACCCTGCACTGTGCATCGCTGCCAAAATCTAGAAATGTGCTGATCATTTATACCTGGATTGATTGCAGCTATGTTACTTACATGGTACTTTAATATATAGATGAGACCATGGGATACCCAACCATAAGCAAGTCTAATGATGACCATACAAGGTGCAACCACTTTGATCGATTGATGCTTTGTTGAAAACGATCACACGATACCATAATTGAATGCAATTAGAGATCCTTGCAGGCAATTACAATGGTTGACATGTAAACTTGATTGGGTATTAGTATTGATGACTATTCATTTGTGTTCAATGCTTTTTTTTTTAATTCAAAGTAATTTTTGTTTGTTCATTAATAGAGGTGTGAGTGTTTTTGATTTTTATTTTACTATAAAATGAAAATTTTATTTAGTTTTGTTAAAAAAGTCTACATTGTACATGTATTTTATAAACATTTAATATGAATCATATTCATTTTTTATTTATTTTTCTAACAGGAGTACGTAAGTGAATGATAGATTTCAAGGAATGTTCAGTCAGAATCTATACTTCATCGTTATGTTGTATGATAGTTCACACAATCATATATAATCAAATATCATATATAATCAAATTATTGCAAAATATTGAAAAAAACTGCTCACACAATCATATTTAATCAAATTATTGCAAAATATTGAAAAACTCACACAATCATGTGTAATCAAATTATTGCAAAATATTGAAAAAATACACAATCATATGGAATCAAATGTTTGCAAAATATTGCAAATCTGCTTGATGGCTTGCTAATCTATGTATATGGACAGTATAAGGCAATCTCGGTGTACTTTATGGTGGCTAAACACACTTATTTCTTAGATGATCAATTTCATTTCCAATTGATCTGTCCTGATAGGAATAATCAGTCTATAGTTGGCAACCCATTCAAACAATATGACACGCACAGGAAAGTGGATTTTGATAGTTGGAAGATATGATTGAAAATTATCCATCACACTTCTGTTTTCAACATATAATCTTATAATCTGATCAATTAAAATACAATAAAATTCATATACAATGCATGTCAGTGCTGCCAATCAATGCAACACGATCAATAATCTTCCAACCTAGCTGACCAATTCTGTTTGATTAAATCTAATCAAAATCAAATCTAAATTTGATTCAATTGCCTATTCAATTGCCAATATGACTGATTTGATCATATCACGCATGGATTGGATGATAAAATCAAAGCATGTATGGCCACCATTATAGTAAATTGATGTATCTGACATTATCTAAATGATTGCTGAATTTACATAACATGACTGCCATTGCTTGCCTTTGTGGTGGTTAATTCAAACCTGAAAGGAACCTGTTGGTATTATCCGGCTTCTGCATCTATCTGATCTGAAGGATTTTATATATATATATATATATATATATATATATATGTATATATATCAAGTAAAGTGATTAAGGATGCTGCTTCTCTGATGTCCTACTTTCTAATATTCAATAATGCAGTTGCCTATTGGCTTTTCTGAAGGAGGCCATAAGCAGCCCAATTTTTACCAGTGAGGCTCCTGATTTGACCATTGCTTGCATTTAGAAGGCTGCTTATGACCTCCATAGGGGGCGATAACGAGCAACTGTGGTGGTAGAGATGTTTATTATCGCACCCAGAAATTTTGTTGGTAACTTCTTCTGTAAGTGAGGCTGATCCTTCTCTCTGCTTGGATGTTCCTTTGTTCTCATTGGCTCAATATCACAGTAGGCCAGAAGCTTCCACAGCTCATTCAAAGATAGGAATATATCATCCAGGCTATCATTGTTAGGATGATATCTGCTCATTATGACCTAACCACCACAACATTATAGGATCGAATGCAACTGGCTTCCTTAAAGGTGTCCATCACCCTCCTGAACCACTTTCCCTCATTGCACTCTCCTCCTCTCTTGCAATCAGACATTTATTTATTTATGATACCTTTTTTGGCCCCATACTAGCACTTCTGAAAATGATGTCCCAGTCACCCGCAGCCTCCTGGGATACTGAAGTCATGCACCCCAGGAGGCCTAGGGGTACTCTACAGTGCATGTTCTGCTATATGCCATCACAGGTCAGGCTGTATCTTCCTGGTTCCTGCAGCTGGTCCCTGATGACATACCCTGGCACAAGCATGTCTTTCAGGGGCTGGCTGTAAAAACCCGAATGAGATGGACAGACTCCTGATGTAAGTAAAAAAGATGGTGGTGCTGGACTTGGAGTGTGGCAGAAAATCAGTAGACTGCAGCAGGACAATGCTGGATTCATTGGATGTCATTAAAAGTAATGGTGGACTTCTGAGGTGCCCCAAAGAGATCACAGCATACAAAAAGTTTACAACATGGGGTAATTCACACCCCCTTTACATTTTATTATTTTATTGTTTATACCCCTCCAAAGGATAATAATACCAGATCCCAGCCGCTCTTTAGCAGATGTATTGCTACAGGGTGGCAGGGGTGCGCAAAATCATGTGTATATATACGTGATTTTGCGTTTCCGGGTAGGGGCATGCACGATCCGCGTGTGTGCCCTACCCGCGCCGCCGTTCGCGACTGTAGCTGTCAATCACTGGGTCCTGGCTGGTGATTACTCGCCAGCGCCCGAAGATTACAGAGGATCTCTGACGGGGAGGAGGGCTGCTTTGTTTACTAACAGTCCTCTTCCCTGTTGGCTTGGTCACACTGCTCTTAATGTCTGTGCACAGCACAGCCATCCAGAGCAGTGTGCTTACAGTGAAGCACCAACAACTGCCCCCCAGTAAAACACTCCCAGCACACAGTTAACCCTTGATCACCCCTCATGTTAACCCCTTTCTGCCCAGTGCCATTAGTACAGTGTCAGTGCTTTTTTTTTTTAGCACTGATCACTGTATTGGTGTCACTGGGGATGTCAGTGACACCAAGTCAGTTCTCCCCAGTGTCAGAATGCCTGCCACAGTCCTGCTATAAGTAGCTGATCACTGCCATTGTTACTGAAAAAAAAACATTCCAGTATCTATACCGCCATTTGTAAACGCTATAACTTTCACGTAAACAAATTAATTTACACGTATTGGGATTTTTTTTGGCCGAAACTTATGACGAAAAAAAATACTTTTTTTTTACTGGACATTTTTAATAGCAAAAAGTAAAAATATTGCTTTTTTTTCAAAATTGTCAGTCTTTTTTTTTTTATAGTGCAAAAAATAAAAATGCACAGGCGATCAAACACCACTGAAATAAATCTCAATTCGTGGGGATAAAAAGAACATAAATTTCATTTGGGTGCAGCATTGCATGACCGCACAATTGTCAGTTAAAGTACCGCAATGCGGTAATGCAAAAATGGCCTGGTCAGGAAGGGGGGTAAATCCTCAGGTGGGCAAGTGGTTAAATCACATTTAGATGTCCTTTTATCGTGCAGTGGTAAATGACCACTGCTCAGTTCTCTGGCATTCTCAGAGGAGATAATTCTCCTCTGACTGCCTTTTTATGAAGCGGTGTAGACCGCTTCTCCGAATGAAGACAGAAGTGATCTACAAACGCTTTGAACACTGGAAAACGGCTGCTGTTACTATAATCTCGCGAGATTACAGTAAGAGATCAGTCAAACACAGTTTACTAAGCAGCGGTCAATTATTGCTGCTTTGTTTGCGGTTCCCCCGATTCTCCACCTCCGGGCTGGAGAATCTGGAGGGAGAACACAATCGCCAATGAAGAACTGACATCATACACTGGCCGTCTGTGTGCTGTCTGTGTGCTGAGATGATCAGCAGAGAACATGTTCTCTGCTGATCATCTCTGTTTCTTAAACCACAAATGATCTGAGATCAGCAATGATCCTCAGGATCGCCGCTGATCTCAGTTTCATAAAATGGACATCTTAGTTTGTAATTATCATGATGCTTTCCCCCTGTTAGTTTATTATCAAATCAGATGAATGTTTCTTCTTGATGCGTTTAGCAGGATACTCAATCTACTTTCTCAGAAGGATAGATGAGGGAGTCCAACATTTTGAAGCTTAGTCTAAAAAGAGACAAAAGTACCAACACAAGCAAAAACATAATTTTTTAAATAATAGTAGATCACAATATACTTCATAGCAGCTGGGTAACTATATATTTTGATCTACTACAATCTAAAAAAACTATGTTTTTGCTTGTGTTGATATTATTTTTTGTCTCTTTTTAGGCTAAGCTGCACAGTGTTGGACCCACACATCTATTCTCCTGAGAAAGCAGGTCAAGCATTCTACGAAACGCATCAAGTAACATTCATCTGATTTGATGATAAACTAACAGTGGGGCAGCATCCCGATATGTACAGACCAAATGTGGAGAAATATGGTATTATTATCCTTTGGATGGGTACCAACTGTGCACATACACATTAATATAAAGCTTTTATGACTGAGCTGTTAGGTTTTCTTGCCTGCCTACTGAAATGTAAGAGAGGTGTATATCCACCCACATTTTAAACGTTTTGTATGCTCTTGATCTCTTTAGGGCATCTCAAAAGTCCACCATTACTTTTAATGAGATTCTGATATAATTTTGGGATGTGGTGCCCCCACTATCCCTGAATTCCCCAGAACCATTTTTTGCCTGGATTTTGTAAGGATTCAATGGATGGGTGAGCATGAATTTTAAGGATAGCCCAGCGAACAATATAAGAGGCGATTTACATAAAATGACCATGGAGGGTGAAATTCCTCTTTACTTTCCCTTTCCCCAGCAGCACATACTTATTTCTGCCTATCAGCTCTGCCATTGGTAGCAATGAGGAGGATACTGGTACTTCCCAGTATGAAGGAACAAGTGACTTTCTTTCCACATGTCAATGCAGGTGTTTGACGATTGGCCCAATGCTGTCAATATGGGGTTGAAATAGAGTCATCAGGCCTGTGAAAGTTCCAAGATTACACAAGCTTTCTTTTTGTCCCCCTGATGGCTGAACAGATCAGTGGGGGAGTGAAGGAAAGATGAGTATGTGCTGTTGGGGAAGTTATGTAAACTTGTTGCTTTACTTTACTTATTTGATGAGATTGCCTAATATACACAAAAAGAAGAATGCATATAGCAGGGGTCAGATATGAAGTTATAAATTCCTGCTGTGCAGAAATAAGTATGAAACTGTCACCTGACATTTTTTAACCCTTAGTCCTCATGCGCACTGGATGTTTTTACAGCTGCTGTTTTTGGCTTTTGGCATTTTTTTCTACAGCCAGTAAACTCCCCAGCATGTTATCCTATGTGTCCATGCACACATAGGCTTTAATCAGCATTTTTTGGCAGGGGCGTTTTTTGGCTGGAAAAAAAACTCAGAACTAGTGGGTTTCTAGAGGAGTTTTTTAAGTTGTAAAAAAGGCTCTTGTAAAGTGTGGCAAACCAGCATTTTTGAGTGTTTTTTTGTAAAAATTTTATTATTTTATTTCCTTTAAAAAAGCTATAAAATGCTAATGTGGAAAAATGGGGCTAAATGCTAATGCAAAAAAGCAAAAAAAGTGGAAAAACTTGCGTTTTTAAAGCGACTTTATACAGCTAACGCTTTTAAGTTTTTAAAATGAGGACTAACATTACTGCAAATGTGCTAGCATTGCCTAGATTGGCTGCCAATATTGCATTGCATATAGCTAGCTTAACCCCAGTAACCTTTTTTTTTATTTGAAAAGAAACATACATGGAAATGTTCTTTCATCTAACATGCATGGATCCAAATATATATTTGGCCCAACCAAGTGACTCTTTCTTGAAAATCAATCATTGATGCGTTTTAAAGGTTTAAAGCTGAACTCTAGGAAGTAGAAAAAATCTATCCTTGCAGTGAGACCTTCCCCACATTGCAAGAGTTGAATGCTCCTTTAGTATAAGGCCGCAGGAATAAGGTGTGTAGCACCCTCTAGTGTGCTACTAGGGTAATGTAGGTAAATGTATTGTGTATGACACATGGTAACTGTGTGAGTCTGTGATTAGGCCTGGTTACTGCAGGTCAAGCTGGATGGCTTAACAGGTTGGGACTCTACCGCCTGCACTGGTTCTGGAGAACCTTGGAAGCTTCCAGAAGCCAGTGGATGGAAGGGGTGGAGACATAATCTTCATGTTTATGGGAGTCTAACTAATCCCAGGTTTGGAAACCTTGGTAGAATGGTGAGGCAAACCCATAAATATGGGAGAGTCAGGCTGGGAGGGAGCAGTGCTGTTCTTAATCCTTTATCCTTGTCCTGGGAGAGCAGCCAGGAAGGCTGGTAGTGTCTGCAGACTGTGGAGCTGGGTGCAGTTCTATAGGGGAGAGGAGAAATCTCTGCATGTAGTTTACAACAATCTAAGCAAGCTTTCAGAGGGGATGAGAGTTCCTAACCCATAAGGGCCTGTTGTTCCTGACCCACAAAGACTTGCCACTTTCAAGGAAAAGAACAGTCCAGGATCTGTCTCTGTAAATAGGAAGGAAGTGCCTGTGCATTGATTCAGTCAAGTTGGGCATCCCATAATCCATATTGCCCTATCCAATTATATCCCCCTAATAAAAATAACAAAAACCTAACTTGTTGACTGTTTACTAACTGTGGATACAAGTGTGGAAAATATGTGCTGCCTGGCTGTGCGAAGCTTAGAGGGATCCAAAAACATGGGGGCCCTTAAGAGGGTAATGCTACAGGTGTAATAGTTACCTTACTGTGACATGGTCCCTCAATCCATGCAAATGGTCCAGCAGTGCATCCTATCTAAGGTGCTTAAGGCCCAATCACTAGCTCACCTTCCAACATACAATGTGGGGTTAATAACCCAGCACTGTATGTGATAATCTATCCATCTACCATCCAAAGCGCACTCTCTGCTCCTCACAAGACCTCCTACTCTCCAGTTCCTTGGTCTCCTCCTCCGATGCCCATCTCCAGGACTTCTCCAGGGCTTCCCCATCCTCTGGAACTCACGACCCCAATCCATCAGACTGTCACCTATCCTCCTCACCTTTAGGCGCACCCTGAAAACCCATCTCTTCAGAGAAGCCTACCCCGCCCTCACCTAACTGCTGATCTCCTCCGCTCTCCCCACCACTCCATCCCCCACAGCTATTTCCTCCTGTACCACTCTCCCCCTCCATCCTAGATTGTAAGCTCCAAGGAGCAGGGCCCTCGAACCCCTCATGTATTTTATTGTATTGTTACTGTACTGTCTCATGTATTGTCTCCCATTGTAATGTACAGCACTGAGCAAACTGTTGGCGGTATATAAATACTGTGTAATAATAATAATAATGCCTATGGACTACCCGCAGCCCTTCCACAGACCCAAGCTTTGGGCAGAAGGAAACGGTGCTTGGGTAAGAGATAGTGTACGTATTGCACCTGATTCCTGCACCCCTAGAGTAAACATGCATTTAACTCTTGGGGGGGGGGGGCTACTGCAAGAGTAGAGTTTATCTAATTCCCAATGATCATCTCTAAACATGACCACAGGCACACAATTCATGGCCCACACTCAGACAAGCCTATATAATATATATTGTGATATAAATCAAAGTCATCAGTAGTTAAAAATTTTCAAAATGAAAAGCCTTTGCTCTGAGTGGGTGTTTACCATTGCATGTGTGCCATTATATTCCTTAGTTGGAAAAAAACTGTTGTGTGTGCCTGAAGCAGAGCTCTGTTGTCCAATGAGAGTGATCTTATTTCTCAATGAGGCACTCTAAGGCTGAAAGTCGGAAAAGTTCAGCACTTAGTAAAAACAAAGTGGAACCCATGACATGGGTTTTCTAAGGAGAGTGCAAAGAAGAATTTATTTGCCTATAGACTCAGTTTCTTTGATTGGAACCCTATATTGCTTCCTCAGAGACATGCAGATGTGGAAGAGGAGGGAGGGATGGCTCATTCCTATAATTTAGTTGTGAGTAAAAGTCAGTTTGAGCTTTTGAGCTCTGTAAGCAACAGTGTTTTTTCGAGGTAGGGACTGAGAGAAAGGTAAACAAAGAAAATTTCAG